AGATTGAAGCCGAGATCGACCCCTTCGAAGAGGACCGGAGAGACGCGGAGCAACCCGATGAGGAGGAGGATGAAGAGCAGAAGGCGATGAACGAACGCTTCAAGGCCCTCTACAAGGATATTGGTGACGACATTGACTACCAGACCCTCCCCTTTGTTGTTCCAATGAAGACTCGCACGGCGAAGGAAGTGAGGTCACGGATCCAGCAGATCTACCTACAGCTACGACAACAAGGGCTTCCGTTGGTGCGCATCCACAGCGACCGTGGGTTGGAGCTAATGGCCCAGGAGACAAGGGAGTGGATGGCGAGTCGGGACATCTTGGCGACGACGGGGGAGAGTCAACAACCCCAACAGAATGGCCGAGCAGAGGCGATGGTTAGAGTTGTCAAGAACCGTGTGAAGCTTCTGTTGAGGGCGGCTTCCCTGCCTATGTCCTGTTGGCCACTTGCTGCAGAGTTCCACGCCAAGCGACAGCGAGATTTGGCTTTGGGTGATCGCTCCGATGCGGCGCTGCCGTTCGGGGCGCCAGTTCACGTGAAACACAAGAGGTTCGGGCAGGGTGGCCGGTACGACCTTGCTGAGCGATGGCGGTCAGGCACCTTCGTTGGATATTCAGGAGACGTCCGTGAAGGACGTGTGGTGCGGCACGACGATGGGAGCTACACGACGGCGGTGCACATCAAGCCGTACCTCATCGACTCCGACGACCTGGTGAACCATGGTCCCTTCGAAATGGAAGTTGAAGACCCGGTGCGCCGAGTCAGGGGCAAGACTTCGTTGGCCCAGCTCCTCTCAAATCCCACTACGGACGTTGACCGCAAGGCCAAGGAGCTTATGGAGGCGGAGCTCTATGGGATTGAGAACTTGGTGGAACTATGGGAGACTCTGAAGGTCCACGCGAAGAGTACTACACGATCGACACAGGGTGATGGACTTCAGTGGCTAGTGGGACAATACACCTACGGTGGCCAATGTGGCGTTACTTTGGATTCAGACAAGTTCCCAATAGCCACTGCATACATGGTCAAGGCCTTCCAAACCATCACAGGGACCAAGGACTTCACAGCCCTCCTTTTGACTGAAGATGTGGGAATGTAGATCCACCGCGACGTCCACAACTTTGTGGGAAGGAACAACATCCTACTACCTCTACTACCATGCGAGGATGGCGGTGGAGTGTGGGTGGAGTCGGAACCGGAGGACTACGATGTCACAGACGAATGGAGACAGCTTCCGAAGGGGGATTGGCGGAGGGGAAGAGTTCGAAAACTACAACCCGGGAGGCCAATTTCGTTCAACCCTCGGAAGTTCCACCAGACGGAGAAGTGGAAGGGGAAGAGGCTGGTCCTTACGGCCTACACCCCGCGGACATCGAAGATGAAGCAGCCCACCTACGACAAGTTGGTAGAATACGGGTTTCAACCACCACCTCTACCTCTACGAGTACCTGATCAACTACAACGGGTGGTGCTCAACATGATGAATGTCACCGGGAACTCCCCCGCTCCGGAAGCGATGATGTTCCAGATGAATGGGAGCCCGGAGGAGCGCAGTGAGAAGGCCCAAGAGCTCAGCCAGGAACTGCAACAACTTCAAGAAGATGTACTAGGGCGACTACGTGAACGCCGGGAATGGTTGCAGGACTTCTTGGCTGAGGAGGAGATTCTAGCGGAGGAGTTCAATACAGTTGGCGAGGTGATCCGCGAGGAGATCAAGGGGATCAATGAGGTGGTAAGGGACCTTATCAAGGATGTCGATGACCAAGTGAAGGACGTGGAATCCCGGTGCCACAACCTCTACCTCAAGGTGGCCAACGTTATGGATGACAAGGAGATTGGGGATATCGAGGAGTACCTTGTCAACCTCAAGAAGGACCTGGACGTGACGCTGGACGTCCCGTTGGAGCAGGTGAAGGCGAACCTCAGTGATTGGATTGAGCCAATGGACAAGGAACTCGCCAATCTGGGCTCCAAGACGAACGCCATCGAGCCTCGAACCCTTACAGAAGCGAGGAGGATGGTGAATGACGGGTCCCTGATTCTCATTCCGGGCAAAGTCGTGTTTACCGTCAAGCCTCCGGCTCCGGAGACCAAAGCTGAGAAGAAGTCCGCCGGTGCAAGGTGGAAACGCAAAGCCAGGATTGTGATCTGTGGCAACCTCGCCAATCAATCCTTGAGTGCCAATGAGCTGTACGCAGCTGGGGCCTCTGTTGAGGCGCTCCGCTTGGCACTCGCGATTGCGTCCGCTCTTGGATGGATCGCTGCCGCTACTGATGTTTCAGCGGCATTCCTTCAGGCGGAGTGGCCAGCGAACAGGCCAACGTACGGTGTGATCCCGCCCAAGATCCTGGTGCAGGCGAACCTCGTCCCGGAGAACGTTGTGTTCGTCGTGAGACGGGCACTCTACGGCTTGAGAGAAAGCCCGGCACTGTGGGCAACGCACCGCACCAAAGTGCTGAAGGAAATCCTGGTGCAGTGCGCCGAGGGCTGCCTGTGGTTAAAGCCTTTGATCACCGATGGGGAACTGTGGCTGATCCTCTTCAAGCCGAATGGGGCGGACCGTCCCCAACTGAAGGGGCTCCTGGTGACCTACGTGGACGACCTCCTTTACTTGGCGAAGAAGGCGATTATCCTGTTGTTGCATGGCAAGATTGCCTCTATCTGGCCCTGCTCAGAGTTGGAGTTTTCGGACAAGGGACTCAGATATCTGGGAATGGAGCTCGACCAGGACGGCGATAACTTCACTTTGGGCCAGGAAGCATACGTCACCAATCTGGTGAGGCTTCATGGCTTGGACCCACAAGCTACTGCAGGGTTGCCATGCCCGAAGGAGTGGATTCAGGATGATGAGGCTGAGGGCGAAGTGGAGAACTTCAGTGCGGAGGAACTGACAAGGGCCCAGAAGGTCACCGGAGAATGCCTTTGGCTAGCCTACCGTACGAGGCCAGACATCCTATTTGTTACGAACTACATGGCTGCGATGACTGCCAAGAGGCCGGTGAAGGTCTATCAAGTGGGTCTGAAGGTGATTGCCTACCTCAATGCGACTGCGACGCTCAAGTTGAAGGTTGAAGCAGCAGCAGAGCCAACGCAGTCCACAACAGCAGAGCCCACGCAGTTCACAGCAGAGCCCACGCAGTTCACAGCAGAGCCCACGCAGTTCACAGCAGAGCCCACGCAGTTCACAGCAGAGCAACACGAGGCAGGTTTCAGGGTGGAACTGTCGGGTTTTAGTGATGCGTCGTTTGCTCCGTATGGGGGCAAGAGCTTTGGCTGCAGTATGGTTATGGTAGGTCGGACTCCTGTTTCATGGAAGGCTGGCAGGCAGAGCATGGTTGCCATGTCAGTTTGTGAAGCAGAGCTGATGGAAGGATCTACGTGTGCCTTGCTGGTTGAATCCACTCAAGCGATGTTGAAGGAGATTTTACCGTGTGTGGAAACTCCGAGTCTGTTTATCGACAACATGGCGGCTCACAACATCCTGAATGGTTCTTCTGGAAGCTGGAGGACCAGACACCTACGTATTAGGCACTCTTACGTGCTAGACCAGGTGACGAACGGAAGCCTACGAGTGGTCCACCTCCCGGGAGAGGACCAGCCTGCGGACCTACCCACCAAGTTGCATAGCCGAGCACGACTCATGCACTTGTTGAGTGTGTGGAATATGGTTGGTCTGCCGGAGCTGAATGGGACGAAGGCAGTGAAGTTCATGAAGTTGGGATGCCTGTTCCTGCTTATGTTGGCGGTGCAATCGTTGGCTGTGTCAGCCCAGAAGGAACCTTTGCAGATGACTGGGTCGGGAGAGTTGCTGATGATGCTGCTCCTGACGTGTATTTCTGCTGTGGCTGTCTGGGAAGCGACGAAGTTGCTCTACCGTTACGCGGTGCATCAGGTGTTCGGCACCAAGCGATCAAGAAGGATCAACAAGTTGAGGGAACTGGCAAAGGCAGCGGCGGAGGCAGAGATTGAGAAGTGGGTGGAGCAGGACGAGCCCCCATCCAGTGAGAGCGTGACACGCTCCTTGCGGCAAGTTCTTCGAGAAGAACGTGAGAGCCAGGCGCACACGCCCAGGCCCTCACCTAGGCCTCTGGCCCCTATGAACATCGAAGACACTCGTGAGAGTGTTTTTGGAGGCCAGCGACCAAGGACTCCACCTTTGCCCCGACCGACGACGCCACCGCCTTCAAGACGCATGTCTACGCCGACGACCCCGGACTCCGTGGATGGTGCAGGGCAATTTGAGCGTGATCGGGTTTGTCGAGATGTTCTAGGCCTACTTACAGTGAAGAACCTCAAGTCGGGCCTTGAGAACGAAGGCTTACCTGTCTCAGGTCTCAAGGAAGACCTGATACGACGACTAGCCATGACCATGGGCGATGAAACACCTTCTTCGATGAGACCAACAACACGACAGTTGAAGTACATTTTGTACGTATGGCGACACCGTAGTCTTTCAGGCCGGACCGAGCTCTCATGGGCTACACTTTCATCAAAGACGGCAACCTCGGAATGGTTAGCTCGATGGAAGGACGCTTGAGCACGCACCGCAGAGTGTATGGTGGTCTATGCCGCAGGCAAAGACCAAGGAGGAGTGATGAAATCCGGTTCTGCAGTGCGCGATTACGAGTGATGCCATGAAAGGCATTGATTGCCCAAGTTGCGAAGAGCTATTGAGTATGACCTGAACGTCCCTGCACTTTGTACATTATGGTAGGTTGACTGACAGGTCCGAACTGCAAATTGTATAGCATAACGACGGCTAATGTTGCCATGATCCAGCAGAAGCTACCACGTCTTGTGTGAAAAATAGCAGGCGATCCAATTCGAAGCCATGTCCCTCTGAACTTCCTTCCCGCCCGTTGAAGATCACAGGTGAACCCTCTGGGTTGTGAAGTTTTCTCATATTCCTAACAGGACTCTGGAAGGAAATGGTTCTACAAGAGTTCTGCAGGGCTGGGTAGCGTAAGCCCTAAACCCCAGACACGATCCTAAAGCCGAGGCACAGCATTCTGGGAGAGGGCGACGAGACGCGCCGGAGCGCCCAGCACCGTCCGGAAGCTGACATGTAAACTACACTGAACTTGGAACCCTAGCAAAAACTATAAATTTAGCTGTTTCTTAGGGATTACAATAACCAAAATGAAAAATATTTTTAAGTATCCCTAAGTAAAACAGAAAATTTCGCACTATACTAGCCGGAGTCTGGCCAATTACTACGTAAGGGCTTCGGCTTCGGTTTGCTTGGTGGTGGAATGTCGGTGTACTGTGTGGATCTCGAGCCCCCAGGCCTCGAACTCTTGTGTCGGCAGGTCCTATAAGCTTTGAGGGAACTTATAGGACGATTTGAAGCGCAATTTAGGAAGTTTAGGTTTTGGGTCGAAGTCGGTGGCTGTGCTTAACGGACCATGGGACGTAGCAACTAGGTCATAAAGAAGCGAACTATACTAATTAGGATTACCCTCAACCCCTTGACCCTGAAAAGGCTCCAGAACGATTCTTGCTACCTCAAAACAACCTCCCGAACACCTTCGTAGTTTCCGGATTCGTCTGCTTGAAGCTGATGGTGCTGAACTCGGAAAATTCTGATTCCGATGCCCGCAAACTTGGAACCCCAAACGAAGCACTATATAGATCCTATAGCCGACCCTAAACCCTGAACCCTGCCCTACACTCTGAACTTCCGCCTCTCTGCCCTCGCCTTAAACCCTAAACCTGCCCTACACTCTGAACTTCCACCCCCTCACCCTCAACCCAAAACCCTTAACCCAAATCCTAAACCCTCGAAGCCCTAAACCCTAATCCGCTTCAACATTTCTAGCCGTACCTTTGGTTAGTAGGGAATGGAGGAATGGGGTACACTAATGTTGCTACCATTCTTGCATTCCCTACTAACCAAAGGTAAGATACAGGATCATTAAGGCCCCTATACTATAATACCCTTTTTATAGATCCCTTATACTAACCCTTGTAGACCCCTTTATTAGGCCCCGAACCAAAGCTAAGCAGCCGAGGTCCCGGCCTGGCTCACCATGCCATCCGTCGCCTCATCGAGGGGCAGAGCTGTGGCGAAGTTCGCATCTCGATGCTCGAGGCGGGTTCCCCTTTACAGGATTCCTCGAAAGGGGGGGGGATCCTTGTAAGGGTTCCTTGTAAAGGGCTTCTTTAAAGGGCTCCCTTAAAAGTTCCTGTAAGGCCGGGGGCTGGGAGGAGGGTACCGATCACATATCGGTAGCTCTCTACATATGGCTTCCCTTTAGCGTCCTTTCTTATCAGGGTGCCGTACTAGATTGGGGACTTAAAGCGGACCCTAATTTAGGGAACTGCCCATGTCGAAAAGCCCGATATTCTCATTATGCAGGACCCTGCAATACTCGTTTGCTCCTCTGAAGCCGGACACTTTGATAAAGCAACCCCCCCTAAGCTGCGTGCCTTCGACACTCCTGACCGGTAAGTAAGCCCGAGGTTGACTTCGTTTCTTGCTCGTGTCGTTTGTGACCTTAACTGGAAAGAGCTCTTCGCCAAAGGCCTATAATGCATGAAGCCTAAACCGTAAATCGTAATCTGAACGCCTAAACCCTACACCGTGAAGGTCTACTGCGAGCAGATCCGAGATCTACTTGGCGCCTCCGAGGTAAGCTCCCATGGGTTTGTGGACGTGACTTCAGTGGTCTTGGGAGCAGTTGCGAGTTCAGGGTATGAGGTTTAGGGTTAGGGAATTGTTTAATTGTAGTAAACCTCGAAGGGGTTATTGAAAACATTCTTGCTTGCCATTCATTAGCGTGGTTCGAAGCACGCTTGAGGTGAAGATGGGGGGATTGGATTTCGGGTCTGGGGTTTGCATATGGTCTCGGCATCGGGCTCGTAACTCGTCGTTTCCTTGCTTTGGGTGAAGCTTTCCTTCATCGGGATCGACACAAATGCAGTTCGTGCTTACCTTCTAAGGTGACCTGCATAGAAAACAAAACCTCTATAACTCCAGGGTATGGGTTTATGTTGGCCTGCAGGTAGGTTTTCAGTTGGAGATTAGGGCACAGCTTTAGGATGCTTTGGGGGCAGCCCTGGCGGGTTTTAGGGTATAGCTTCACGCGTTTAGGGTTTAGGATGTAGATTGAGGGCTCAGAGCTCAGGGAAGTATGAAACAGTAGTGGTGTGAGTATAGAAATTGTAATTTCAGATATCATGGGGTAGCCGGTATAGTCCATTGTTACAGTTCCAACATCTTGCTACAAAGAGCCCTCCACAACATTCACAGGTTTCATGTTGATTTCCAGCCCCCTTGCTGGCAACTCAATCCCCGAAAGCCTAAACCCCAAACCTCCTAACCCCGAAACCCTAAACCCTTAAACCCCTATTAAGCCCCTAACCCCGACCTTAAATTAAATCCGAAGCCCTAAACCCCTTGATCCCATCTCAACTGGCAGGGCGGGACGCAGCCGAAGCTTCTTTGCAGCCGCCGGGACGGCGAAGGACGGATGCTCTTGGACTGCGTGGAGGCTGGTGGGTACTACAAAATGGGAGTTCATTCTCTCAGGGGTTGCTTGAATCTTTGAAGAAGTGACAGACGTTGCGGCCCACGGAGCCTGCAATTTTTGAGTTCCTGCATTTCATGGGTTGCCTGCTTCGGTTCATAGGGTCCAAAGCTGTATTTGGGGTTTGATGGTTTTGGGTTTTGGGGAGGATCTTCCGCAAACTGATGTCCCCCCCGGAGACCAAGACCGACACCATTTGGGAGTTTCCGAATTTAGGGGACCCTAATACAGTACCCTAAACTGTAGGATCCTTATCATAAGGGCCCCAAAGTAAGGTACCCCTCATTTTCGGAAACTCTCATATCGGTGGTTGTCTAAATTTATGGTCCCCTTTTGTGGGTCCTTAGAGTACGGCACCCATTATTTAGGGTACCCCAGAATATTGACAACTACCCATATGCCCTAACCAGGTGTATATTCAGGATCCTATATTATACTCCCACTAAACCCTAACCCTTAAACCTTGAACCCTAAACCATATAGACAGGGGCCTTACAGCCTCAACCCCGACACCTATAGGGTTCAGGATTTAGGGTTTAGGGCCTACGTTTAGGGTTTAGGATTTAGAGTTTAGGGTGTAAGGGCCTAAGTGTCGGGGTATAAGATTTAAGGTTTAGGGTATAAGCCCCCAGACGATGACAGACAGAGAGAGGCCGTGGCCAGCGCTTCGGATGTCGATGCCCTGCTGGCGCGTGGCTTCGCCAACCGAGCTACAGAGGGAACTCTTTGCCGGAGCCTCAGAAGTACTGGAATCCAAAGCTCACTTACCTTTGGTTAGTGGGGCCTAGTAGAAGTTGACAGCAGGAATCCAAAGCTCACTTACCTTTGGTTAGTAGGGAATGGAAGAATGGTAGTACTAGTAGTTATGATTGTACCCCCATTCCTCCATTCCCTACTAACCAAAGCTAAGTTCAGTTGTTCAACATGCCATATGTATTTTGAGTCGAAGGGGCTTATAGCAAAACACCAAAGCACCAGATCACAACAAACGGACGAAACCTGAGAATCGGACATGAGCCTTAAATGGCGGTCTGGGCTGTCGGGATTTAGGGTTTAGCGTTTATTTGGATGCTGGGGGTTGCTTTCGAATTGCGTGCGTTGTCTATGCTGCATCTTCCAGGGGTACATGCAGCCTCTGCGGTACCGCACAATCCTTGAAATTCATTGGGTCCTATTGTTTTGAGTTTACATGTTTGGGATCAACACCTACAATTGTTTACGGGTTGCGGGTTACCGGTAGAGTTTTCAAAGTTCGGAATGGCGAAGGGAGGTGCAACAGCAACCAGGCCTGGGAAAAGTCAAGCAAGGTCAACGAAGTACGAATCACAAGCAAACTGTAGTGGTCACCATTCTCAGGCCGCAAGAGCCGTGGAAGAACTAGCAAAGCGGCTTTCAGGCAATGACAGCTCGTCGCGATCCCATGTGGTGCTGACCGTGAAAGTACGAGCCCCAGGTTATGTGTATGGAGGTGTCGTGGTGGGCGAGTGATGGGGTTTGAGCTTAGGCTGCGGCTAGGGATTTTGCACGGGGGTAGAAGGCAGCTGGAAAGAAACTTTTGCTTCGCTGTCAGGCAGTCGAGACCGAGATGATTTGGGTTGAGCAGTAACGTGCAGGTCTGAAAGGCACCCCATTCGACCGTTTAAGGGCCGCAAGACAAAAGAAAACACGGAAGAGCAGATAGCCGTTTAGGTAAGCTTTGGGGATACTATACCCATAGTCTCCAATGTAGTTCCTTTTCTGGGTTACCTCATAGGATCCTAGATATATATAGTTTGTTAACCCAAGAAACGGAGCCACAATCGAGCGTTTACGCAGTCCCTGTATGCTCCCACATAATGGGATACACCAGCTTTATGGTGTTTGTTCCGGTGCTTTTGCTGTACACTGATATATGCCCTAACCAGTTATACGGGAGTTTCCGAAAATAGGGGACCCTAATATAGTACCGTAAATAGTGCCCTAAATAATAGGATCCTTTTTGTAGGGATCCTAAAACATGGTACCCCTAATTTTCGGAAACTCCCATATATTTAGGATCCTATATACTATTCCCTAAACCTTAAACCCTAAACCCTCAGCCCTAAACCCAAAACCTTAAACTTTAAACCCTAAACCCTAGACTCCAAACCCTATACCCAAAACCCTATAACCTAAACCCTAAGCCAGGCCGTCGAACCCGGCCGTGGACGTCTCGTTTTGGTGGATTTGGCCGGCTCCGAAAACGTGCAGCGCTCCGGCGCGGACGAGGAACGGGATGAGGGCTGTAGGGTTTAGCTTACCTCTGGTTAGTAGGGAATGGAGGGGGCCTTCTAAAGGGGACTATAAGGGTTACTATAAGGGATCTATAAGGGTACTTTAATATAGGGGCCTTAAGAATCCTATAACTTACCTTTGGTTAGTAGGGAATGCAGGAATGGTGTACAATTAGAACTGCTATTACTACCATTCTTCCATTCCCTACTAACCAAAGGTGAGTTAGTAGAGCTTTGGGGTTTCGAGAGTCTAGAGATGTAGGGTTTGGGGGTGTGCTTGGGGGTTTAGTTTAGGGTCTAGGGGATTTTTGTTGATGGAGTTTAGAGTTTAGGGTCTAGGGTCTTCTGGGTTTACGGGTTTTCAGGTGTTTAGGGTTCAGGGGATTTATTGAGGCTTCTCCACGCGAGAACGTGTCATAACTTTGTGGTCTAGGTCAACGGAAGCGCCCTTCCCCCTGTTGCAGGATGCCAAGCTCCTGGCAGAGGCCAAGGCCATCAACCGCAGCTTAAGCGCGTGGATCCCTGGTCGGGGATGGGGCCCTGGGGGGTTCAGTAGAGAAAGGGTTCGGGACATACCGAAAATAGGGGGCTCCAATATAGTACCCTACATAGTAGGACCCTTATCATAAGGACCCCCAAACAAGGTACCCCCATTTTCGGAAACTCCCATATCAACTGCCACCAATCTCCTCAAACATGGCCAGAAGCCGAAACCTTAGGCTTCGAACACTGAACAGATGGCCCTCGATTGCACCCACGCTACGCTTGAAATCTTTCAATACGCGACTTTCAGAGAAGGAGGATGCCCCAAAGCAGACCTGAAGCACTACGATCTTCAAATTGGAGGACTTCACACCCAAAAAAGACACTGACAACAAGGGCACACACACACACGCACGTCACAGAAAATGCAGGCCTCGCATGTTCGAAATCAAGCAAAGCAGCACCTGCTCGATGCCGCAGCCCAGGCCCTAGCAGATGTTGTCGAGGCCACAGCGAAGCAGCAGCGCTGCGGCCATGCTTATGCCGATCCAGATAGGGTCTGCAGAGGTTTGCTGGAGTTCTACATTTACCCATGGGCCCATGTTCAGGTCCATAAAGTAGATCCCTCATCAAGACACTCTCCGCTCTGTCTGGGTTGTAACGGAAAGGGGTTTCATGAATTAATCAGGCTCTACAAAAGGGTTTGTCCAGAGTTGCGAGATGAGGTTTCGGTAGGGTTCAGGGATTTTACGGGAGCTGGGACGCTCGTCGAGATGCAACTCCTCAACTAAGATACGTGTTGCTGCAGACTTCGACTTAGACCTATGTTTAGCTACCGGTGAACTCGCCAAAATTGACAAACACTAAATATGCAGATGCAATAACTACCTTCTCTGCTCTTCGCAGCTTCTACAAGGAGCATCTGCTCTGGGATGTGTGTGAGCTTCACATTAAGGGACCGTCACGATATTCGGAAAGCCTCAGACAAGGAAGTTTAGCATAAGGAACCCAATTTTCTGAAACCCACGATTTGGAGCCCCACGCGGCTTAGTAGAGGCTTGAAGTCCTACCAAAATAGTTCCCCCAAAGTCTCCTATCTACTGTTAAAAGAAACGTGCCTCTTCAGATCTGGGTCGTATGATCAAAACATATCAAGACCCGGTTTTAGCAAGACCACTGTTTTACCGTGAAGAACCAGCCGACCCCAAACCCCAATATAAAGCATGCATAACCGAACGAGACCTTCGGTTCATGTGGAAGTCTGTTAGAGAAAGACTTGTTCTTATTCCCCGCCAGGAACTTCATCCCATACCGCAACTCGCGCCTGACCATGTTGCCTGGGTCCCGTCAGGGTCCTTTGGAGCCTGGAGTTAGTCTGAGGTCTTGTCCAGGGTCGGGTTTCGGGGCTTCGGGTTTAGCATAGGGGCTTAGGGTTTAGTCTGGAATTGGGATTTTGGCTACGGCTAGGGGGTTTGGGGATTTGCATGGTGTTTGAGTTGGGTTTCCCGGATTGGGGTCTCGGTCCTGAAACGCTACATCTAAGTCAATCGCAGTGCTTCTGGATCGAGCTATGACACATGTGAAAAGCCCTAAACTGAGCCCTAGCAACCCGGAAACTGTAAACCTTTTTCAGTTTGCTAGTTAACTAGTTAAGCTGAGCCTCAGAATCTTAAGCTCTAGATCATAATTCCTGTGCTTTCAGGCCTACAAAACCTGAACTTTCCCAGGCTCGAGGAGGCCCTGTGCATGTCCCGCGTCCTTCTCCTCGTCCACATCAGCCCCTTCGCCCGCGATGCGACAGACACGGTCATGCTCCCAGCTTCTCCTTGCACTTTGTTTTCCGCTCCGGAAGGGGTTCTTGCAAGGGCTTTTTTTTGTCTGAGAAGCTCTTTACGCGGTCTATCATGAGGGTTTCGCAGGGCTTTAGGGCTGGACGCAAGGCTTCTTTAGATTTGTTGGTGGTGTTGAAAAGCAGGTGTGTACGCGTTCTATAATATGAGTTCGGAAGCATCCATGGGTATCGTGGGCTTCCACAGTGCGGCTGGATGCAGGTTTACCCAAAGGCCCCAAAGTAGTTCATTTTTGGGGTTCATATATAGAATCCTATAAGGTAATCCCAAAAAGGAACTACTTTGGGGCCTCTGGGTAGTTGATTCATCTCCGACTGTCCGGAGCTTCAAACCCGAAACTCCTAACCCTAATGCCTCACCTACAACTGAAACTTTGCCTAGACGGTGGAGGGAGACAACCTCAAATCATGACCTTAGCCGAAGCCCCACTCGCTTCGAACCGTACGATCCGGAGGCAAATTCCTGGAAATCTGGAACCAGTTCGCCATGTTTCCCTGGGCCCGAGACCCTAAACCGAAAAGCCTTGTATACACAGACAGGAAAGGTGCTTGAGGATGACGCCTTCGCAACGAAGCCCTGAACCCTAAACCCTCACCCCTAAACCCTAAACTCTAAACCCTACACTCTAAACCCCAAATCCTAAGTCCTAAGCCCTAAACCCTAAACCCCAAACCCTAAACCCTATAAACCCTAAACATACACTCTGGACCTGCGAGGCGCACTCATTGAACTTTGCCAGCCGCGTTCGGGCGGTGGATTTCGGTGCGCAGCGCCTTCGACAGGTTGCGGGGGAGTTCCGGGTTCCGAGACATGGGCTTTTGAGAGGTCTAGGGTTTAGGGCCTGGGGTTTAGGGCCTAGGGTTTAGGTTCTAGGGTTTAGGGTTTAGGCTGTTTAGGGTTTAGGGCCTGGGGTTTAGGGCCTAGGGTTTGGGTTTTAGGGTTTAGGGTTTAGGCTGTTTAGGGTTTAGGCTTAGCTCAGGGGTAGTTCAGTTCGAGGATGCTATCAGGTTTCCAGAAAGGTTCAATACGGTTTAGGGGTCTTCACGGTTCCTGATAAGAAATCCTTTATGGAAACTCTATCTTGCCCAATGAACCAAGAGTTTCTGAAACTTCCATGACTTACGTTTCTCGAGGCTTGCAGTATCGGGTTTTCTGGGGGATGGGGGGTGAAGCTTAAAGCAGGGCTCATTTTCCGTGGTGCCGAGTTTGCGATCAGGTTTGAGTTGAGCCGAGAAGGGCTTTGTGTTCATGCGTGTTGATCACAGTTTATGCAAAGACATGAACCTTTGTCATGGTTCAGGGTTTGGAGCATTGGTCCCCAAATGGTCTTAAAACTGTATCCGTCACGAGCCTTGCATTTCCTCGCCCTGTTTTGTACGCTGCTATTGCGCTGTAGCAAACTCGACCACATTATGAAAACTCCTTCGTTGATCTTCCACTTCTGTCTTTGTGGCCAGTTCTCCGAACCAAAACTTCCTTGTGGAATCATCGTCCAAACCACTGTCCCATTTCAAATCTTGCGATTTTTGGCTTCGGGTAAAGTGAAGGCTGCCCGAGTTTAGTCAAATAGTTCTGTTGCTGCTTTGTGGTTTATGTACAGGCTTTCTGGCCCTAAACCCTAAGCCTTGAACCCTAGTATACATGATTTTGTGGACGAAGATAAATAGATGGATAGGTAGATAGATGGGTAGTTCTCTAAATACTGTAGGGTCCCTGTGTAGTTCCCCAGTATAGTACAGCACCCTTGTAAGAAGGATCCTGCAGGGGACCCTAATTTGGAGAGCTTCCCAGATACATAGATAGATAGCCTTTCCTAGATATCGATTTGGGCTGATTGGTAGCTTCCCTTATTCTTGACAAATGCCCTAGTTTTCTCATAATAACTTGGGGACTGTGGACATGGACGCCTAGTCTCTGCCTGTCATGCAGGACCAGGAGGATCGAGCACGCGCAGCCCAGAATCGCAGTCAACAGGAGGCCAGGACTGGAGAAGGGCGGGGTAGGGTTTGGGGGTTGAGGGCTTTAGGGGTTGAGGAGTTCCGGGTTTCTGGTTGAAGTGTGTATGTTTGTGTCTGTCTGTGTCTTTTTGGGAGGAGAGGGAGGGAAGGAGGGGTTGGTTAGGGCAGGCTAGGCGGCTAGCTAGGCAGCTTCCGGTTTGCCGTATTGCAGCTGGGCACCGACAGAATCGTTAAACACACGCATCCGGATTCCGAAGCCTCAAATCCACAACCCGTGCTGCAGAAACCGTGTACCCCGAAACCGTATTCTACCAGGGCCAGTTAGCCCTTGACAGTTGGTATTTGGGGTTTTCTAAAAGGTCGCTGTGGGGGGGTCAAATAGGCAAATGAACCGTAGACTTCCACACCCTGTTTCCCATCAGTACACACTCAAGCACAGGGAAGCCCCTAAACTCTCGCAGCCTCAAGCCCTAAATCTCTAAACCCTAAACCCTAAACCTCAAGCCGGCTTTCTGGAGGCACGGCTGCTGCAGCAGCAGCTCGAATCTCAGCGGTGGTGGATTCACGACTTAGGTTGTGAACCAGATTAATTACATTGCATCGTACAGTCCTTAGCTTGCAACTTCAGTACACAGTACACGTACATAGTACACACATGCATGCATGCATGCATCCATCCGTCCATCCATACATATCATACAGGCATACATTGTACTTCAGAAGTATCACATACCAAATATGCAGCATAACAGACGCTAGTGTAGTGAGCTACACTATCATGTAATGGAGCGTAACATAATACAATACCGTATATAATATTGAAACATAAACATCATAACATGTAAACGATGATACGACAATGTGATAGAGCATGGTCAAACCAAGCACGGTACTATTATACTACTACAGTTTATCATTACAACGTATAGCAATACATTGTAGCAATGGTTTAGAACAGTATAGAATCGAGTTTAATAGAATGTAAGATAGCCTAGTACCACACATGTGTGTCTACCTATCTACACACACACACACACACACACACGCACATGGCCGCCAGGTGAGTGGGAAACTGGTGTTAGGGAAAAACTTTTGGGAGTGGGGTTTTAGGGCTTTGAAGCAGGGACTGAATTAGGTCTGTGTAGAGCTCCAGACTTTTTGAGTGCATGTTGTGCCGTAAAGCTGCGGTTGTATGCAGCACCTTCGGAATCTTACCTCGCAAAAGCCTCTTCGTATGCCGTAAAGCTACAGCCCAAAGTCCAGGAATATGTTTAGGGTTTAGGGTTTGGGGTTGTTTTGGGTGGTCTCATAATGTGGGAGTTTCCGACAATACGGGACCCTAAAATAATAACCTAAATAGTAGGATCCTTATTATAAGGACCCGGAAACTCCCAAACCCTAAACCCTTTGTAGAACCCTTCTAGATCCCTTTAAGGAACCCTTAAAGGATTTCTTTAAAGGAACCCCTATTTTTCGGAAACTCCCACCTAGAGGCCTGGAGCTGAAGCCCCGAAGCCGCCTACGGCTGAAGACTGAAGGCTCGATCAGACGAAGAGGGAGCTCACGGACTCGCAGAAAGCCGCCGCCACAGTGGGGTTTAGGGTCTAGGTTTTAGGGTTTAGGGTTCAGGGTAGAGGGTTTAGGCCTTAAACGTCGGGGTTCGGGGATCCAATCCTCGCTTTGGGGGTCTGCAGGGCCTATGCTCTGGGCTTGGTGCTTGGGGTTTTGGGGAGCTTTCCCTGAAATTTGCAGTATTCGCTGCCTTGTTTGTTATTTTCTTCTGGAGACCGACCACCTGCCCATCCTGATGAGAACTGTAGTATCATAATACACCTTCCCAAACATATGCTATTGCACAACTGTGTTCCGATTAGTCATGCCACCAAAGATTGACCTAAGCTGCAGTCAACATACACAAGCGAGCAAATCTAGCTATTGAGCGAGACCCGTCAACACACTACAAGAAAGCCCCTATAAGTTTGCACAACAAACTAAACTAATAGCTGAAGCCTACTCCAATGTTTCAGACCCCCAAATTGCGGCCCAAGCCCAAGCCCTGGGTCTAGCGCTCTCTGATGAAGCCCGCCACATGAAACCCTGGACAGACACCCTATCCTAAGAAATGCTCCACGTAACACTCTACGTTATACACTTAAGCCTTAAAGTATTTGTAGAGGAAGCCCACTGAGGCTTAGGTATATGCCACACTCGTACATGAAGCCTTAGTGTTAGTGTAGACCCCTGACTCGTAAACCCTTCTCAAGTAACCAGTTCTACAGTGTATGAGGATCCTACTGGGGGGGGGGGGGGGGGCAGGGGACTTAGTAAGTAGGTTGTAAGTGGGGTTATAATTGGGGGTATCTCCATTTAGGTACTTATAACTCTACTTATGACCTACATACTAAGTCCCCTGCCCCTCCAAGTAATATATTCGGGCCCTAGAGGAAGGGAGCCCAAGCACCGAGAACCCAAGCCGCAGTCACTATCCACCCTAAATGCTGTCCGAGGTGCAGTCTGAGCTCAAGCAGCAAGCCGCCGCCTCAGAAGATAACTAGGTCTTGACAACATCTTTATGGAGGGGTGTAGTCCTAGAGTTTGGAGTTGCAGTCAGTATTGCGGGCAACTTGGCATTTATGGGGTTTAGTGTTTGGGGTCGGCTTGGTGTAAAGTTAAAGAGTTTGAATTGGGGCACTTTCCGGAACGGCCCTCTTATGGTCGTTGTTCTAATAGCCCATAATTACTGGCAGTTAGATATGCAATTTCTTTTGGGGTTGCATGTTTTTTCGGATGGTGAGTGTCCCATGTTCGATTATGTTTCCGAAGGGTCCCTTGTTGTCCAAAAGCTCCCGTTTCTACCAGGGCCTTAAAGATTTAAAAGTCAGAGTGCCGAACGTTTGAGTTTTTTTTAGATTGGGTCCAAGGGCCTAGAATTTTGAATGGTACTACAAACCTCTGCAAGGAACCCTAAACCCCTCACGCCCCCTCAACCCTCTAAACCCCTCACTCCCTCGAACTCTCATCTAAGCGAGGTCTCACATCTCGGGGAGCAGTTGCGAGAGAGGCAGCGCGAGCTCATGCGCGAGCAGGCCTGTCGGAGGAGTTCCAGGATTTCTATGCTTGCTTCAAGCCTAGGGTTTCGATAGGGTTTAGGATCTTAGAAAGTCGAAGATTGTCTAGGGTTTAGGTTTTGGAGTTTGGGTATTAATTAGGAAGTGTAGGGTTAGGGGATTCAGGGTTTAGGGTACTTCAAGGCTCCACTTGGAGTTTATGGCTTCGTGGTTGGATTTCAGGGTTTAGGGTTTAGGGTTTAGGGTTTAGGGTAAGGAGCCCCTGTTGAGAGCAACTCTCCAAAAGAGCGTAACAAAGCCGCCTAATGCAGCTAAGCCCGCAGCTTAAGGCCTAGAGCCCTTACAGGAACCCTTTTTGTTGAAGGAAGGAGAGGCCCAATTCCCCTCAATTTTGACATGTACCCTTAGGCCATGTAATATCCAGCCCCTTATAACTTAAAGTCTATCTCTTAACACCCAGGCTCCTCCTCCTTAAGGAAGAGAAAGGAACCCTGAAAGGAAGGCTTTGCAGGGCCCCTAAGAACCCTCCTCCTCCTCCTCCTCCTCCTCCAGCCCCACCTCCAACCCTAAACCGTAAACCCTAAACCCTAAACCCATCAAGAATGCCAGGAGAGGCGCTCCCAGGCGGAGGACTGCGCGCGGGACCTGCGGTTGGCGGGTCGCAGCGAGGCCTTTACCAACGGCTCGCAAGGCCGGGGGGCTTTCCTTTTTTCAAAAAGGCAAAAAAATCAAACAACTCAAAAAACTGTTTTGATTTTTTTGGGTTTTTCAAAACAGTGGCTTTAAGAGGGTGGTTTTATTCAAGGGTTGAAAGAAGGCTTTCGTTTGACAGGGTTAAGGGGAGGGGGATTCTATGATTTGGGCGTTTAGGGTTTATTTAGGGCTACATTCAGGCTTGAAGAAGGTTCTACAAAGGTTTCTTAGAAAAGGCATTTAAAAGGGCTCTAGAAAGGTGTTTTCTGAACAGTGGTTGAAGAGGGTTTTACATGAAGGGTTTGAAGAAGGGCTTTCTTTTGAATGGGGTTAAGGCAAAAGGGGTTCGGGCTTAGGGTCAAAAAGGGCTTTCAGAGGGTTCTGGACTTAATATGCGTGGCGTTGCGAGGGTTCTCTGGAGGGCATAGAAATTGTTAAGGGCTCTATATGGCTTTATAAGGAAGGCCGGGAGTTCTCTTGAAGAGGGCCTATACCCAGGTAGGGTCTATAATTAGCCAAGTGGTTTAGGACTCTGGGGTTTAGAAAGGGTTTAGGGTTTTAAGAGGGTTCTGGGGTGGAGGGTTCAGCGACACGGGCCTAAGATGTTTTTATCGAAATAGGCTCGAGAAGGCTTCATAAGGTTTTACATGTGTTGGATGAGGGTTTGATCTGGGTTTTGCAGGCTGAGATGAGGGCATGATAAGGGGTTTAGGGTTTGACAAGGCTCGTTTAACGGCTTTAGGTAGTTTTATAAGGTCTTCAGAAAGGTTATCTAGGGCCTGACAAGGGCTTCATAGGGGGGCTTTTTTGAAGGGTTTGGTACTGGTAGGGTTTAACGAGGCTTGTATCAGCCCTCAACTCCTACATGCCCGCTACTCTCGATAAGCTCTAGAAGCTGCAAGACCCGTACTTTACAAGTACAGAAACAACCATAGTTCACACCCTATATCCCTAGCCACTGCAGTCTACACTGTCTATACCCTCAGTGACATGCTTCTAAAGCTCAGGCATCAACCACAAAGCAAGCCGACAGCCTGAAGAACTCGGTTAACGCAAACCCTCGAACCCCTCGTACACCTAAACACTCTATAACTCAACAACAGAAACCCTACATGCCTTCCTAGCACCCCCATAACAAGCAAAATGAGACCCACAAAGGTTCAAACAACATACAATCCTGAAGCCCTACTTATAATTATGTATATAGTTTTAGTCAAAGTCGTGAACACCAGGCCGACCCATCAGCCCGGTTCCGCGGAGCTTGTCGGCTCCCCGGCTTGGAAACGCAGCGAAGCCGCGGGAGAAAACGCCGGCGGCGAAGGCGACAACAACTGTGGAGCCACGAGGCCTCTTCGTGGAAAGGGGGGGGGGGTTGATAGGGCTCAGGGCTTTGGGCTGAGGGTTTTGGGGATGCGCCCATCTCCTCAACCATGGCACCGATATCCTGAATCTCAGGCGACCTAGAAGCCCGAAACCGCCCCTAGACACCCTGAAAGTCAAGCAGGTCACCTGCTTTTGAACCGGTACTAGTCTTAGTATACCCTCCCCATGATAACCTGCTTCTGTTTTTGTAAAAGTAATAGTAATAGTAATAGTATTTTGCCCTCTATGATACCTCTAAAGGAATAGAATATAGTAACATAGACGCTAAGTCAGGCCCTTGAGACCCCGAACTTCCGGCATCAGGGTTTCAAACCGCAGAAAGTCATGCAAGGTGAGCCGAAGATGTTCGCCTACCGTAATCATGTGGGTGGTTGTCAAAATTGTGGCCCCTTTTTTGGGTACTTACTATAGTACGGCACTTAATGTTTAGGCTACCCAAAAAAGAGCCTTAATTTTGACAACTACCCACATGACTTCAACCCTGAGCCCGAGCCCCAAGCGCCAAAGTGCGATCTAGACAGCCCCTTGTAAAGTGCTTGGAGGAACCCAAGCGGCAGACCCTAAACCACCCCTTCAAGGAGCCAGCACCGTAAACCTCGAAACCGCTGAACCCGGAACCGTTGAGCCCCAAGTCTTAGACCCTGACTCCTAAACCGTTTCCCTCAAACCTTAAACCTGACTCTTCAACCCAAACCTTTCAACAAATCCCTCTCCCTTAAACCCGAAACCTTAAACCCTTAACCTTTAAACCCTTATAGCCCTTAAACCCGTACCACTCAGCCTTGTAAATCCCGCGTCCAGGCATCGCCCCAGCGAAGCAGAGACCCACACCCCAACCCGGTCTGATGAACCGTGGCTTCCTGGAGGAGGAACCCGAGGTCCGCAGAGAAGGGAATGGATTTGGGTAGTTGTCAAAATTAGGATCCCTTTTCGGGTACCTTAAATACTAGGTGCCATATTATAGTAAGGACTCAAAAAGGGACAAGGGATTCGACGTTTAGGGTTCGGTTTGTAGTGTTGATATAGGGCTTATAAAGGGTATATAGGGTTTAGAGAGGGCTTATAGGACATGGACTTATGGAGGTTACAGGGTTGAAAGGGTTTATCAGGTTAATATAGGGCTTTTAGGCTGCATAGGGCTAACACAGGGTTTATGGGATTTGTAGGGTGTTATAGGGTAGGATTTGTTGGGCTTACAGGGGATATAGGGTTTAGAGGGTTTACAGGACTTCTAGGGTTTATTGGGGTTTTAGGGTTTGGGGTTTATAGAGTTTGGTTTAGGGGGCTTGGGGGTTTAGGGGTCAAGGGGTTTTCGGAAACTCCTATCACATAAACCTATACCGTCTGTCTTTAGACGGAAGGTTCCCAAAACCCTGGACCTTTCAACAAAACAGTAAGACCGCAGCAAATCGCTAAACCCTGAACCCAAACTCTAAACGCTAACCCCAAGACCCTGTGAAACCTAAAATCAAAACGAGAGGTTCTGGACACGGTCTCGCCCTCCAAAGCCCAGACGGGAGACTTGCCCCCGAGGTCCAGGCCTCAAAAAGGGTTCAGGGCTTGAGGCTTTAGGGCGGATTTCGCATAGCGTTTAGGTTCTGGGTTCGTGTTTGGGTGGAGGGCTTTTGGGCTCTAAGAGGTGCTTTGGGGCTTTGAGGCTTGGAGTTCATTGTCTTGGTGGTTTAAGGTTTCTTGACGAGTGCAGGGCTCAGAGCCTATTCGAGGCGTGGCTCACTGGGTTTCAGCATAGGGTCGTCAGGGTTGTTGGGCTTAGTCAGTCAGTCAGGCAGTCAGTCCGCGTTTGTTGTGTTTTTCGCTTGTTTGTTTCAAGAGTCGAGGGCACTCATTCATGTCTTGCTTTGCCCAGGTACCTCTAGTATGTTGTTCAGTCTCATCTGCATCGAAGCGGGTACGGTATATAGTTACAGAAAATAATCCTAACAGCTATAGCCTTTACTACCTTAGAGGTGTAAACTTCAAGTCCACACTGGTGTGTTCGAGTAAGAATGACACGGAGCCGATCAGCACCGTGACCTTTACCAGGAAAGGTTGAATATAAATATACACACACATCTGTATAGTGTGTATGTATATACACGACTTTCATCCAGTTTATACCCCACACCTCAGAGAATGAACCCTAAACACTTATTTCCCCCCCAGAAACAGAAGCTCAACCCCAGACCCGCCCTGTTCTTTCTGCCAGGAAGCCATTTCTGGACCGAACGAACGAGAACGACGCCGATGTCCTGAACTCAAAGATGCTCCTGTCGCCCACCAAGGCCCGTCTGGGGTTCGGGGTTTAGGGTGCAGGGTTTAGGGTTTAGCGTTCGGGGATTAGGGTTTAGGGTTCAGGGTTGAGGGTCTGGGGGCATGAACAACTTATACTATTGGGAATTTGGAACCTCGACAAAGAGGAACTCCAGTTCATGTATAAGCAAGTGTTGATATACCACAGCATGTGCTGCCGAGAGCTCAGTGTCAACATCACGTTACATGATGTCGTCGTATTTTGAGTTGATCTGGAGCAATGGCAGGGTTCTAGGATGATTGCATAGAGCACGATTCTTGATGAGCCCTTGTTCCGAATGCTGCCTGCGCTGCACTTAGCACAGTGGCAAGCTTTCCCTGGCACCCTTCATTACCTTGCAGAGGCTCGAAGTCGCGGGAAGCCATAAACAGGGCTTCTTACGATTCGGGGTCCCTTACTTTGGTTTGGGGCCGGCGTACGGAAAGCAAAAGTCGTTCTTTATGGATCTACAGTATGCGTTTAAGGTAAGTATGTGTGCATTGCAATGTCCTAGAATGCCACTGAAACAGCACGGGGCATTATTTCTGAATCCCTACATTGACTAACCATTGATATTGGGGGAGCTAAGGAGCCAGGGATGATGATAATCCGTACTAGATAAGGAGCTCAAGAGCCAAGGGAGCCGCCAAAATCACTGGTTAGTTGAGCACTCCAAACCCTACCCTAAACTCCTGAATTCCTAAACCCGGAAAGCCCTAAACCTTGAACCAATACCCACAGGCTGTGCCTCCTTGCAGGTGGACTTCACAAGCCCAACCAAGATGATTAAGGACCTCGCGCCCACCTCGGGACTAATACTGAATATTAATATTATTAATAATAGTAATAATACTATTAATAATATTAATAATAGTAATAGTAGTAATAATAGTATAGTGTTCGTAGGGGGATCGCTCCCAGGGTTTCTTGAAGGCTTGCTTTGAGGGTTCCGTGAAGGGGTCTGTCAGGGTTCTACCAGTATGTGAGTTTATACAGGAATTGGGATTTACCAGGCTAGAGGGTGCAGGACTTAGGGTTTTGGGGTTCACGATTCTGGCAGCAACGTTGAATAGTGGCTTCGGACGAGGTTTTAAGCACCTTGGGTCGACACGTGAGCCCGGATAGAATCGTACTTGTTCTGATCCCAAACAGTCCTATGTACCGATATAGTAGAATGTAGGGTTTCCATGTTAGGAATTACTATTATGACTCAGGGAAGTTTCCCCCATAACAGTACATAGGACCCTTTGGGGATTGCAGTAGCCTGAAGACTTGCTCTCCATGCGGTTTGCCCCATGCTATACCCTACGCGCATGAGGTTACCTGGACCCCAAAAGTATGCAGAATAATGGCCTTTTATAGTCTTTGGGCCAGTATTTTACCTACTTTTGGGGGTTTAGGTAATGATGTTCCGATTTCCTGGCTTCTACATTTACTTGTCCGCCCACGTACGCCTTCCGCCCAACGAGCCTCAGCAACAGCTTACGAAGCCCGAATCCAGCGACACAAATGGGAGTTTCCGAAAATAGGGAACCCTAGTATAGTACCCTGAATAGTAGGATCCTTATTATAAGGACCCAAAATAAGGTACCCCTAATTTCGGAACCCCCCAAATGTCGCGTCGCGCGTCCCGGCTGCGAGATGCCAAATACCTTTCGTATCCCTAGTGTTGATGATATAAATCCTGCATTACCTTAAGGGCCCGAAACTATGGGAATTATGGTATATTCCTTATTGTGGGTAATGCAGGATTTGCATCATCAACCGTAGCTTCCCACGAAAGCCTGCAAAACCCGTTTTAGAGCCCCCATAGCTCACACTGAGGGCACCCCCACACGCGGCTCAATCCTGACGCCGGAAACTGGTCTGCACATAAGGGTTTCATGAGGGTCGGTAGGGTTAGGTCTTTCAAAATGGTGGTCGAATATAGAGGTCTGACGAAAATCCCCATTTAAAGACACGAAAAAATGAGGCCCTCCATATACGGCTAATCTCGTTTTGTGGGCATAGTCACGTTGTTTTGTGAGCTATCTGGGACTCACGAGTCTCACCGAAGTTTAGGGCCTGCATTGTGAAACTACGGCCTTTCTGAAGCTGCAAGGTATCTATCTGACTGCTGACAGTTGTCGAGTTTTAGGTTTCAGGGTTTAGGGCTGGCAAACTTAGGCTTTGGCTTCAGTTGGATTTGGGGCCTGGGTTTTACCGTTTGTTTCGTAGGAGAGTACTTAGATTTAGGTTTGATTGTTGGTAGAGTAGGCTGCCATAGTCAACTGTGTCCATCTACTGCTATAGCGGTTCATCTGTGGAATCCAGGTTTCTGGAAAGGGACCGGGGCATGGACGGCAGCCGAGCAGAAGTCAGTGCAAAATCGGGCAGGGCATAGATGGCAGCACGAGGTGCGACAAGGGGTTGCATGGGCCTCACGTCGCTTGTAATGTAGGGGTGCGGGATATGTTGAATGGATGTCCTGGCGAGAAATGTTCGGGCCCCAGCGCTGCACCTCTCATTGCAACTCTGTAGATGCGTAGACACATGTACAGGTCGAGCCGAGTAAATACGGACACGTGGGGCGCTGCGCGGTGTTTGGTGGATTGCATATATATATATATATATATATATATATACACATACACACACATATACATGCACACAGTACTTAGTCCAAGTAGTGTTAGTGTAGATACAGATGCAGATATAGATACAGATACCTATATAGATTCGATCTGTGCACTGCACCGGACCTACGTGTCTGTTGTATCCCCAAAATCCCATTCTAAGTCTATTCCTAGAGGCTCCATAGTAGTTCCTTTTTGGGGTTCACAATTAGAACCCTATAGGGTAATCCCAAAAAGGAACTGCTGGGGAGCCTCTGGGTCAGCATTTAGGCCTTGATGTTTCTGAGGAAAGGCTATCCACTCTGAGCCCGTGTGCCAACGTCGAGGCTGGGACTGCGCAGCCAATTGGAAATCGGGAATCTGCGGACTAGAAAATAGGCCCACAGTGTAACGGAAACTGTAGGGAGTTAGGGTTTCTTGCGGTGGTGCGTCAGCAAAACCCTTGAACGACATCTGCTCAGGTTTTAGGTCAAATTGCTTCTTGGGCTTCGGGTTTAAGAGATACAGCATACAGGGCAGGAGCCGAATCTTCTCTTCTGTAATGCTTCCCAAGCTGCCCCTGAAGGCTGTTGAGTGGTTGCCGGATTGCTAGAGGTTTTGGGGTTCCCGGGTTCGAGGTCTCTTTGCCACTTCTTGGGTTTGTGGTAGAATCCTACCGTGCGGTCCGTCATGTTCGCGTCCGGTTTTCGATGTTGTCGCGATGGTCCAGCTCTGGTTTGCGAGTCTTGGCTTCGAGTGCCACCCTATCCCTGCAGAGACCAAACCCGTGATCCTTTCGCAGTTCTGCAGCTGTTTGATTCTTTCATTGGCTCTTGACCGCAGACAATGAAGAATTCGGCAGGAATATGACCTACGGCGACTAGACTGTTTAGGCGAATCCCCGAACCAAACTTTCAAGCACCTTCAACCCCGCCCCAGCTTCCTTCATTTTTGCCTCTTCACGGCATAGTTCTGTGAAGCGATCCTTTCACCAACCTCAACCTAACAACAACAAGCGGCCATAGCCCGCTCCAACATACTTTCAGTTTCGAGATAGCAGCAGTAGCAGTAGTCATTAGTCCGAATTCGTCGTAGTGGTAGCAGTGGTGGCAGCGGTGGCAGTGGTGGCAAGCGGTGGCAGTCGTGGCCGTGGTGGCGGTGGTGGTGGTGGTGGTGGTGGTGGTGGTGGTGGCGCTGATGGTGGTGGTCGTGGTTGTTGGGGTCGGGCTCTAACTTGGTGTAATTATCGGGTGTTGTCCTGGTGATTCTCGTGCCTTCTGTGGACCTTAAGCCCTATTTAGTGGGCTTGTGTAATTATTCGAATGCAGTGTTTCGCATCGACCAAACAGATGATCATAGTCGCAGGGGCAGGTCGCCACGTTTCACCCGCGCAGCACTTGCCTCCGCGATCACCCAAGCTATTCGCTCATGAATGTATCATACTATGATAAATTACAACATAATATGCATGATATACTTTTAACAAGATATAACATGATATAATATAACAGATCTAGAATAGAATGTACATTTAATATAGAACAGTTAGTTAATATGATGTAGTACAAGTTAAAAACAAGTTTAAAGAAACATATAAAGCACGGTGAAAATCTGACTTTGTTGTTCGTTTGCTTCACATCGCGGCTACCTCCTTCTTGACTTAGACTCAGGAGATCTTCCTTGTACAAGCAATCCATTAGATCTTCCACTTACATCAGGGGTATTGTAAAGCAGGAGAAAGAGGGCACATCGGGCATAAGGCTGACGCCTCTCGGTTTCGGGAGGCCCCAGAGGGAAAAGAAGTCCTAAGCCGTACAGCCGAAACCATCACTCCCCGGAGATCCCAAAAGTAGTAGAGGCTTGTAGCTGCGATGAGACATTCCGTCTCACCCCATATGTACATCTGAAAAATGTGAAATCTCCTGTGCAGACAACACGAACCTAAGAGGATGCAATTCAAAAGGCATCGGTTCCCTGCGGCTGCAGCCGACACCCACCCCGCGTCAGGGTTCCCGGGGGGTGGTCAAAGGGTACCCTACACAGGAAAACACCACTAAACAGACATACCTTCCGCGTCGCGCCTTTCCGGGGCGAGCAGGTAAGCATGCAGTAATTCCTGAACAGCATCTAGGAGCCGCCCTTGACAGCACAAGGCAAAGACCGGCAACGCTCCATCAAGCGATGCCAGACCCAACTCATCAGAGTTGGATCGATCGGTTAAGGATCCCACCAGGCCTCACCTGTACACACGATAGTAACGAAGGAAGAACGAGTCAAAGTTGAAATAAAACAAGTACGAATTGTCAAAAACAACGTGGGAGCAGAAAAGCTGCACAAGCAACCACGCTGCAACATCTCCAACAGGAGTAACAAAATCTCGACATATGGCCGAAGAAGAAATACACTGTACAAGCATTTCCGTATGCGGCTCACGGCTTTGGGAATTTTCCATCAAGTGGATTGTGAAGCTTGCGTGTAGAACGCGGTGCGTGCACTGCCTCACCTCTCTCATCGACAATCACCTCCGGAATGCACGCTGTCGATGAGGTCATCAGTGCCGGAGCTCCCCGGAGATCCCCAAACCGGACATGAACTCTTAATTCTGGGGCAAAGGAATCCAAATCCCGTACTTTCGGCGACCCGAATTATCCAGAACTTAGAATGTGTCGGTAAAGCGTTGCTTTATGGGTTCTACAAGGAATCTTTAGGTGTGTAGGGTTCAGGTGTGTGAATATTTGGTAAGAGTAGTATCTCCCGTATCAGTCTTGCATAAGGGCTTCTGCTAAAATTACGTACTTCACCGATTCCCAGACCCTTTCTGAGAAAAATACCTAAGCCTGAAACGTTAAGCTTTAAGCCATGACTGTTAAGGCCCCTACATTCAAGACGACTCGGCAGGTCAACGCTTTGGGTGCTGCGGCTGAAATGAGAGTGAAGACGAGTCCTCCACGCAAGGCCGGGATTAGGGCTTAGGGCTAATTTTTTCTTAAGGCTTTCGGTGTTCAGGGGTTTTCCAGTAGTTCATATTGGCGGGGTTCGGACTTTTAGACCTGGTGTGGTGAAGGCACAACTTGGTGGGTGAGTTTGAGACTGGGGGGGTTTTAGTGTTTGCTTGGGGTCCAGGGTGTAAGATTTCGGGCTGGAGGTTTCGTGATGTTGACCCTAAACCCTTAACTCGATCGGTTTGGGTGAGCTCCATGTCGGTGGTATGATGGTGTGGGCTCTATTAATATGTCGGTTTGAGGAATTACAATGTTCTGCCCTGTCCGTCCATAAATGTGCAGATCACAGTATGCCTCAGAAGGCTTTGTGTTGACTGCTCTTAGTGGCATTGAAGCATTTATCGTGGCAGTTAAGCATTTTGGGCGAAGCGCGCTCGTCATGTTCCATCGGGTTTGAAGTTGGGTTGTGTGTGTGTGTGCACTCAAACTGTGCTACTGCCCGAGTTCGTTTCAATGCGCACTGTTCTTGCTCAGTGATGCCCGAAACCCAGATACCAGTGTTCGCAAGTAAGCGATCCTGCGCAAGAACTCAGAACTCACCTCCCCAAAGGAGCTCTACTCCATCAGGATCTGGTTCCCTAAACTCGGAACTTAAGCCTAAACCTACTCGGGTATTTCTAGCTCCTCTTGAAGATGGCATGCCTCTGCTAGGTACAGGATTTGTCGTCCGGTGTTGTCTTTTGTCGCAGGTATCATATGTTCATCACTTCTATGCCACATTTCACTCCTAGACCCCTAACCTACCAAGCCGGAAGACCTCAGCCACGAACTGGACACCCCGAAACGCTAAGCCCTATATAGCGCTAAGCGGGTAAGGCTCCAAACCCCTAAATCGAATCGCCATACCTCTTTAAACCTCAGAACCCCCCCAAACTCAAACACGTCTCTAAACTCCTAAACCCATGCACACGAATGAATTCAAACTCCATGGAGCCCTCACCTCAACGAAACGCTTATAATAGCAACCCGCATAGGAACCCTTAAACCCATGAGCCCCAAACCCTACAAAGCTTCTATTGGAGGCTTGAGTTTGCAAGTAGTTTAGTTGTCGTTGTGGTTTCAGGGATCCGAGAGCAGTGCATAGCTGATACCTAAAAGTTTAGGGTATATTGTGTTTGGAGATCCAATTTCAGATTATGACCAGCCACAGGCTCTCCAGTACAACAGCGCCCAGGCAAGGACCGGTGGGAATCGGTACTATAGAGGTCTAAATAACTACTTACTAACATTATTTTGGGGGTTCCATATTGTAATTGTAGTATAATGCTCCCCAAAACCCTAATTATTCAGGCCCCTACATGAGTCATGCTGTTCACAGCTTCCCGATAAAGGACTCTTTGATAAGATCCTACAGCGAAGATGAAATAAAAACGAAACATCAAGCCCGATAAGAGCAGTGACACAGACAGCGACCGTCCAGCCCCAACGCCCGAAAAGCCTCCCTGCTATTCCAGTCGCCTCAAGATTCCCTGGGCAACTACTACTGTAGCCTAGTTCGGGTGGCGAGGCAGAGAGCTGCAAGCGGCCGATAGTAGGCGGCAGGCAGTTCGAAGTCCCTTCAAAAGCGGGTCATGATTCCGGAGACTCTGCCGAGACCTACTTGCCATGGTGACTGCTTTAACAGGTGCGCTCCGTGCTGAAGAAGATGCCCACCGATTTCAAGAGCCGCCTCTTGAAGAAACAGGACTGTCGTTGTTTAGTTGTAACGGGGTTCCAGGCCCTCACTTGCAGGCTGAGTAGCTAAAGTCCGAAGCTTGTGGCAGTATGGTTCGATTCGTTTCGTTTTCTGGGTTGGGTTTGGAGTCGTTTCCGGCCCGCGAACCGAATTCGACTCGATCCGGAAGGCACCGCTTTAGTCAACTGTAGTCCTGATCCATTGCAAGGGAACGCGAGCCCCCATCCGCTCTTGAGGGCTTGGTCCCATAGTCAACTTGACCCTGAAATGGTAGAAAATAGCCTACGTACATAATTATATGCATAAGTAATTTCCAATACTATGTTAGGGGGGTCCTTAGAATTACTATAGTGTATAGTACAACTGCATACTGACCAATACTATTTGTTGGGGGAGGTCCTTAGATTAACGGTATAAGATATACCAGGCTCAGATACAAATCGCTAAGGCGCGTACAGTGTATGTGCTTGCGATTCCAAGAATCATGGAAAGGCCACATCATTCAAGTTTCCAGAGTACACGTGCCTTCTGTGGCTGTTTCTTCAGTTCTACCTGCGTTACATCCCAAGAGTTTAGGCCTTTGGGGTGTAACATGTAGGGTGGAAAGCCATGGCCTCAGGGACTAGCATAAATACATCATCCCAAAGGGTCCAAAGTACCGATATACTAGAATGTAGGGTTTCTATGTCAGGAATTACTGTTAGAATTTGGGGAAGTATTCCGCATAACAGTACATAGGACCCTTTGGGCATGAACTTTGACATCCTGAACGCCTTTTCCTGGGAATCCTAAGACCCCCCGTTCTCTCGCAGCAGCCCTCAAAGTCAAAGCCTGAACCTAAACGCCTAAACTTCCTAATATAGGAACCTGATTAAGAAACCTTGGGTCTTATTTAGGGTTCCTCATATGAATCCAACTATTTTGGGGCCATAGGCCCAGGGTTTCTTAATCAGGTTCCTACATTACACGAAACGTCCTGCCCGGTGCCGATACCCAAACTTACATTTTGTCCAAGAATGAGGAACCTTGACGAATGCAGATATTCAGGGCTTCATCATGAAGACAGCTTTGAAACGGCGCCCACGCAAGGCTAAACCCTGAACCCTAATCCTGAATTCCCAAAAACTAGACCCTGAACCCTAATCCTGAATTCCCAAGCCCTGTCCCAAATCCTAGACCCTGAACCCTAAACCATTGAAGCTGCAGACTGCCGCCCCCTGGAAAAAGGAGTTCAAAAACAAAAACCATTGAAGGAGCTTGGGGCGGCCTTCACCACAGGTGACAAGCATGTGACGTTCGCCGAGCAGGAGCAGTTGGAGAGCTTCGGGGGCTTCCGGGATGTCTGGGCTCCTTTGAGGGATCGAACGTAGGGGTTTTAACGAAAAAATACCTATGCTATTTTGGGGGGGTTCCTTATTGTAAGTATGGTATAATGGGCCCCCAAACCTGATTCTAAATATTAAGGTGCCTATGTTAGATGATCTACTAAGAGTTCCTTTGAGGAATTCATACACGCTCTATGATGACCGGTAGTGAACAGATCTCCCCCTGTTGCCCTGACAGCCCAGATTCCGCCTTAACTACGCCCTTCAAGCCCTTGATGTAGAAGCCGGAATCATTACCATGGTTGATGGTATAAATCCTGCATTACCTCAAGGACCTTAAACTATGGGAATCATGGTATATTTCTTATTATGGGTAATGCAGAAATTATATCATCAACCGCAGTACCGTCTCTCAGGGTTTCGATGAAATCACATTCTCTGTCCGAAACCTTACCAGGCCCTATTCTGACGATGAGAAAGACCCCTGCATAAATCCCACAGCGCTAACCCCAAACTACAAACCTTATTCCTAAAGCACTAACTCCATACCTGCCTCTGCAGGAGCAGACAGCCTGCTCGCCGCCGAGGCACTTTCCTTCCGTTGGAAGGAGTCAAAACATGGGTCTGAAAAGCCGAAGAAAGTCTTGTACGGATTTTATCAGAGAGTCATTTACTGGTTCTACAGGGGTGTCGATAGGGCATGAATAATCAGAATGGGTTTCCGGGCTAGCATGCGTTCTTATACAGGCACTATATGGATACTGTCACACTTTATTACTTATTCAGACCACCATTGAGATTACGTTGGCCTTCCCGTCTTTGGCCCGATTCAGCCCTTTGATGAATGAGCTCCTAGCAGCTCGATTTGAAGCTTGAGATTCGCATGAATCAGGTCACGCAGTTTTCAACTCCAGGTCAATCTGACAGGCAATCTCAGCAATCCTCCTCTGAGTGATCTGAACTTACGCAGGTGGTATCTCGACCTGCTCGAGTATGAGCAGTCCTGCAAGCAGGTGCGGTTTAGGAGCCTAAACCCCTAAACTTTAAGGGTTTAGGGTGATCAGGGTCTATTTCGGTGCTTGTGTCTACTATGGAGCGTAATGATTAGAGTACGACCTCCGGGGGATTTGAATCGTTTATCTTGTAAGCCATTTTTGTAATTCACATGAAGCTTGACGTTTGTGGTCTACGTGTGGGATTATGGCTTCCGGGCTCCGTTGGCCCTGCAGACCCTCTGCGAAGACAATGCCCAAACCCAAAAGCCCTAAACCCTAAACCCCCTAATCCTAAAGCAACCCTGCACCGAAAGTCATGAAGTACGCCTCGACAGCCTAAGCTCAAAGCTGTAGGCCCAAACCCGCAATCCTGTAGAAAACTCAACCCTAGTCGGGTGAGCCTACAACGATACATCCTGCTCTAACTTCCTGCTTCGGGAGTGATCAACCTCAGCCTGACATCCGAAAGGCGTCCTTGTGCCAGAGATTTCCTGTTCAAAGGCTGCAGGGGGTCTGATCAAGAATGCTGAGCTCATCAATTCGAGATCCTACCAAGTCAACCCGAAGCAAGGACAACTAGGTTCCTCAGAATCCCCTTAGTCCTCACCCCTAGACCTAAACCCCGGAACCCTTGAATCCCAAAACCCCTAACCCCAAAACCCTCAAACCCTAAACTCTAAACCCCTATAAACCCGAAACCTTGAAATCCAAGACCCCAAAGCCCCTCAGCCCTGCTAAACCCCTGTAAATCCTAAACCCTTAAGTCCAAGACCCCAAAGCCCCTCAGCCCTGCTAACTCAGGCTGATTCGAAGGCCGAGACGGCGCGAAACCCGCGGGGGCGATCTTTGACCCCCCCACAGCGGCGGCGCACAGAGGCCTTGGGGCACCTTTGAGGGGTTGTACTTTAGGGGCCGATAATCATTACCTATACTATTTTGGGGGCCCCTTATCACAGTTGTATATAGTATAATGGGCTCCAAAGCCCTATTCTAATTATTAAGGTCCCTATATTGCATGTGGGTAGCTATCTAAATTTGGGGCATTTTCTAAGTCCCGAAGATAGTTTTCCGTTTGCCGTATAAAACGGACCCTAGAAGGGACCCGAATTTAGAGATGAGGTTCTAGCAGTGTCGATCAGTATTGGGTTTTGGGATCCTGCGAATATGAAGGGACTATGTGGTTGAGGGTGCAATGATTGACGTCAGGGCCTTGTTTTATTTGGAATAGGCTTCGATTGGCATTTCGGGGTATGTTACAAACGTTAAAGTAAACAGGGCGATACGGGATAACATTACCAAATCATCGGAGACCTGTTTCAGGGGTTCGCAGTTAAGGGATGCAGGGTTTAAGGTTCAGGAAGCCATGACCCGAAGCGGTGGTTTTCCTTGGTTCACAGAAGATTTCCTGAATCCTAAATCCCTACACCCGGGATTTGAAGGGCTTTTGCTTGCGGTCTTGATGTTGGCCTTATAGATGGGCCCTGAACCCTAAACCCTAAAACACAACAAAAAAGAAGCCCCAAAGCCCTACGAGTCAGGTCCAGATCGAAGGGGCTGGGCCCCGCTGGCGCCACTGAGCCGTCCCAGGCAGGGCCTTGTGAGACTAGGGCCGTGGCGATGTTTGGGGGTTACATACGGGTTACTTAAGGGTTTGGGGGTTGCTTAAGGGTTTAGGGGAGGCTTAAGGGTTTAGGGGTTACTTAAGAGTTTGGGGTTTACTCAAGGGTTTAGGGGATACGTAAGGGTTAAGGGGTTACTTATACAAGGGTTTAGGGGTTACTTAAGGGTTTAGGGTTTAGAGTCTCAAACCCTACATCCGTTTTTCTTTTTGGACCACAGCTTCATTGGAATTGTTTGCGGTTGCATGACTTTGGCATCGTCTTTGCAAGCCCTAGACCAGCATTCTGGGTCCAGGTATTCCCTGACATATAGGGACCTGAGTAATTGCCTAACTATTTTTGGGGCTCTTTTTTGAATTAGTACAGCATAATTTTGCCCCAGACCCTATTCTAATGATACAAGGCCCCTGTATTTGCCCAACTTAAGAATAGAACAGCCGTAGGAAGGTCGGATTCCGGGTAAGACTCCTTCGGAAAAGGGAGCTTGGAAGGTTTCTTGTCGGGACAGCCTTAGAAGCTCCTTCCTTTCCTTTGCGTTCGATCCTTTCTTAATGTAGGGGCCTTACTATTTATAATAGGGTTCCTTTACAGGGATGCTTAAAGGGTTCTATAAGGGATCAAGAAGGGTGCTACAGTGTATAGTAGCATGTCTTGCAGGTACATCTTTGCCGATCGAGGTGAGGCAAGGCTTCGAGCTACCGTGGCTGAATGCAGATACTGAATTATGTGCCCAGGCGAAATTGACTAGCGTGGGCCACTCTTTGGTCGCAGCGGCCATCTGTCAAACCTTCGTGTGCAGTAGTCCAATAGAATCAGATGGAGACAAGATACTGGCAACAAGGCAGTAACTTTGCCCTTATGAGCCTACGTAGTTCATCCTAAGTCCCAAACTCGCAACCTTGAACCCTTAACACCAACACGCTGTAAACCCTAACCCCTATACTCCAAAATTCTCACATCGTCCCGTTGCTTGGCCGCTCCGCCCGGGTGCAACACATGTAAACTGGCTTTGGACATCGAGAGCCTTGCTCTCTCAAAGTGCACGAAATTCGGTGCAGCGATGGTGCCCACACGCAAAGGCTGCAGAGAGTTCACCTATGGCAGAGGTCTGAACGCTCGGAAGAATATTGGCAAGTATCCCGGCCTTGTAGTACCATCCTAGTCTCAGCTTTGTGGCACACTGTGCAATCACCGGCGCATGTTGTACGGAATTCGTTCTTGAGTCTAGGTAATTCAGCCTTCCCGACCACACGCCAACTTCGAGCGAAAAAGAGCTCCTTATCAGTGTTCCTGATTCTAACTGAAGGTATTCCTAGAAAATACCCCAAATCCCTGATCTGATGTCTCACGGTTATTCAGCGGCTAACCCACTTTGTCCCTAGAAGCCCCGTGCTTTCTAGTTTCCACTTGTCAAGGCCCTATATCAAAGCCTGTAGCGCCCTGAAAAAGATCCTGTAGTAAAGCCCGTATGAAACCCTTACTTTTTCTATCCTAAACAGTGCACCTAAAGCACCAAAGCCTTAAACACCACAACCCAAATCAGAAGCGATGTTCCAACTGTCTGCCTTCTCGAGCAAGAGGTCCTAAACCCTGAACCCGAAGCCGCAAACCCTAAAGCACGAACCTCTTAAACCCGAAAGCCTTTCTAGGCCATCATTAGTACCATTCTCATCATTTGTTGTTGTTACTGTGTTTTTAATATTGTAGTGTTGGTTCATAATGAGATTATACCATTAGATTGTGATTGTTATTGTTGCAGATTACCCAGAGGCCCCAAAGTAGTTCCTTTTTGGGATTACCTTATAGGATTCTATACATGAACCCCAAAAAGGAACTACTTTGGGGCCTTTGGGTAAGCATCCTTGCATCCTCGTGTCGGAGAGCTTTTCCATGCGACCTCGGGTCGTTTCGGAGACTGGACTCCAATCTGCCTAAGCTTTTGCGAACTTAGGGTCTAGGGTTTTGAAGGTTTAGGTGTTTAGGAGTATTTAGGGCTTCGGGTTTAGGTAGTGCTAGTGGGTTCAGACGGTTTAGAGGTTAGAGTTCTGGGTTTAGGGTATTGGGTTAAGGGTTTAAGCCTCAGGACCTTAAGGGTGTGTGTGTGTGTGTGTGTGTTTCTGTCCCTGGTCTAGATGGTAGAAGAGGATCTCCGTCACAGGCGGCCGGTGTTGTTCTGCCGGTTTTGAGGGCAACCTCTAGGATTCAAAATCTCTGTGGATACAACAGAAATCCAGGTGATAAACCTTCAACCACCTCCGCACAACAGTTACAGAGCTCATTACTACCCTTCGCGACGCCTTCATAGCTACACCATCAACCACCATCCTCACTAACCTCCATATACACCACTAAAGCCGCATTGAAACTCTATGACACCTTAATTATTCAAGTTATGACGGCCCGCCTATCTTAGCCTCCGAGGTCGCTGTGGCATCGGATCGACTTCAATGGCAACAACATCGCAGCTTGCCTTTCACGGTTTAGGCTCTTTGAGTTCTAGTGTAACACAACAGTAGCAGCAAAGTTGCCCAGACTGCGGGGTATTGTCCTTGAGCCGCATACAACACTTTTCGCTCCCATAGCCGAAAAACCTGCTACCTAGGTATGTGGTCTCTTGCGAGTCGGCTAAGATGGTGTTGTGCTTCACGTCTTGGGAGGTTTTTCGTGGGTATAAGGAGAGCAGAGTCCTGTGTCCTGCTGCCACTAACCGGAGCACTAGACACTAGACCCCGCATCATAGACGAGAAGCATCAAAACCCAAATTAAGGCAAATAGGTACGGGGTTTGGCAATCCGGGGGTTGGCGCACAAGGGTTTGGATAGTTCAGGGTTTAGTGTTGAACCCTTACACACCGCGCGTGGATCTCGAACCTGCGAAACCTTATTGCGAAGCAGTAATGACAGCTCAGGTGTCCCTTGCAGAGATTGACAAGCTCGTTGTCGAGGTGGTTTCGGTTCTTTTCGTTGGAATCTTAAGCGTGTAGTGAATATAGACGTCTGAATACACTTACACAGTATAATGTTTTTCCCGCTTAGCCCTCTTCTATGCGTGTCGCTCGACCATATAAGCCCTACGGCGCTAGTTTTGGCTTCAGCCCCATGTTAGGGTTATAGGTTATCATGAGGCCATCAAAGCTATATACCTTGGCGTACCACAGCCTTTGTTCTGGCACAGTCGTCCCTACAAGGCCTCCACAGGGTCCTACAGAGAAGCTTCGGTAAATTAAGGAAGGTGCACGGCCCTTTCTGGAGTTTCAGTTTGCAGATCTTGCGGCTCGGAGTTCGGCTCATGAGTGTGGCAGTGTGGGTTCAAGGCCCCCAGGTGACAGCTGCCCCAAACACTCCAATCCTGCTCCCTTAACAACACCTCAACCCCGCGAATGTTAGAACCTGCTCTCCCTCAGAAGCCCTCAACCCGTAAACTGAACCTCCAAACTAAAGCCGTGAACCTCCCAGACCTTCCAAAATCCCTTAATTAAGGAATATACCTTAAATCATATTAAGGATCCTACTATAATTTAAGGGATATTCCTTAATTAAGGGATTTTGGAAGGTCTGGGCTCGAACCCTAGGCATCTCGAACCCTAAGCGTCAGGTCCCAAACCGCAGAGCCTCCAGAACCCCCAAAGAAGCCAATAAGAGCCCCAGAAGTCTGCTAATGAACCGTCGAAAGAGCCGGGCATACGGTTGATGATATAAATCCTGCATTACCCATAATAAGGTGTATATATATATATATATATATATATGGGAATTATGGTATATTCCTTATTATGGGTCATGCAGGATTCATATCATCAACAGTACCATGCCTGCTCAAGCCCAGCCCCTCTACGGAAAGCTTAGAACCCGCAAACCCCGACCCAAATCCCCTTGCATAAACCCTTAACCCCGAAACCAGAAACTTGAAACGCAACACCCCTGAACCCTAACCCACCCCAAAACAAAAAGAAACCAAAAGGAACCGCATCTCACAGCCCTGACTCTTTGCCAGATATCGATTTGGGATCAGTTCTAATTTCCTTCTGTTTAATGTGGGGCCCTGCTTATACAGTTGAATTCGACATCTAGTCTGCGCCCTGAACCCTAAACCCTAAACCCTCACCCTTTGCGGCCCCTCCATGAGGAGTTCCCAGTGCTGAACCACAAGCCTGCGTTGATGCGAGCGTGCTCCGGCTTTAAGGGTTCCTCAAAGGGATACTTTAAACGGTTCTGTAAAGGCATACTATGAGAGGTCCTTTCAAGGAGTCCATGCGGGGTTTCAGTAAGGGTGATATAGGGCTTAGGGGTGTAGGGTTGCGTGCTGAGGGTGTTGGGCTGCTGGGGTTGAAGAGATGGTTTAGGGGTCCTGTGAGAGCTGCATAGGGGATCTATAGATCCATGGTCGTCGGGACGTCGTCGGGCTGGGGTTCGGCAGTTTCAGGCTCAGGTTCGGGTCTCGAGGGTTAGAGGTACCCCATCACTGCAGGGCTGTTCTCCAACCCCTATCACCTCCCTAAACCCTAAACCCTAAACCCAAAACCCTAAACCCTAAACCCTAGACCCTGAATCCCAAACCCCAACATCCTAAGCCCTAAACTCCGGATGTAACAGGATGGAACGCCGGATCTCAACTACTCTTGTTCAAAGGTCCCATACGGGCAACATAGAACCGCAAGACTGTAATTTGGGTAACTGGTATACCTCTATACATACGTTATACTTCTTTGTTCCACAAAGCATCTGTTTCGGCCAAATCTGATCCCTGAACGACGCACATTCCTCGTGGTCCCGTCAGACGAGGGTTCTCACTGTTATCTGTGCATGATGTGGATTGATGTGGCCTTCTATGTGACTTGGCTCTGTTCGGTGCCAGACTGACCAAACCCGAAGAAGGCACAAACTGGGAGTTTCCGAAAATAGGCGACCCTAATGTAGTACCCTAAGCAGTAGGATTCTTATTATAAGGACCCCCAAATA